TTCCGCTGTTTTCGTTACGCAGATTCACGGTCCCGAGGTACTCATGAAGCGTATCGAGAGCAGCACGGATTGCGTGCGTCCAATCATGAGTCTCCATTTGAAATTTGTTCAAACTTTATTTTAATATTTTAAGCATTAAGTTAAATATTTCTAACAGGAAACCCATTAAATGTAACATTTATAAACATAATAATTATTATTATTTGTAAATAGAATGGTTAAGAAGTAATTATTGAGATATACTAGTCGTTACGCTTTGCTCATTCCGCTCCATGGGTATCTCGGGCGATGATTTCGCATAACGGATATTGCAAATGTGGCACCGCTAACCTAACCAATACTGTTTAGATTACGGTACGGTAAAGTACGGTTGTGAAATTATTAATTGTCTTGGGCAAATTGAAAAAAAATAATAATAATAACTGCCAGGTAATAGAGAAAATGATAATAATTAGTATGTGTTAATTTATAATATAATATTAAAAATATAATGTTTACAATATTTTATATATATTTCAGTTTATGTAAAGTGCCAGCGTTGGCAGAAGTAAAATGAAACCAACATTCGCATTGTTGTGCATGTGCATGCTATAAAAAATATAAAGAATCGCCAGTACATCAGAAAGATATGCAAAAGAAGTTGCTCGCCTTATATTTGCTGTATAAAAGAATGGTGAAAAGAGAGAACGAAAATAAGAAACAGGAAAAAAGAATATGGGTTCGTCTCATTTTCATGCCCGAAAGACGATTTCTTCAAGGTGCAAGCGATAATCTGATCCCAGAAATGATACATTCAAATGATCCAAAGTATTTAAATTACTTACAGATCTTACCAGTTTTATTTGAAAAACTTTTACAACTTGTTGGGCCAAGAATAACAAAACAGTACGTAATTCGAGACCCAATCTCACCACGTACTTGGTTAGAAATAACGCTACGTTGTTTAGCCAGCGGCGACAGCACGGCATCTGTGTCATATGCGTTCCGTGTAGGGAACAATACGGTTTCGACAATTATTTTCGAAACATGCCAGGTCATTTGGGAAGAATTACAAGAAAAAGTATTTTTACACCCAACAGCAGACAACTGGCGTAAAGTAGCTGCAGAATTTGAAACTCTGTGGAATTATCCACACTGTATTGGGGCGGTGGATGGTAAACATGTAGACATTGATGTAAGTTATTTATTGTTATTATTATTATTCCAGTATTATTGGTTGTTAAAAATATTAAACATTAATTGTATTATTGCAGGCTCCACCTAATAGTGGATCAACGTTTTATAATTACAAAGGGAGACACAGCATCAATTTAATGGCAATTAGCGATGCCAATTACTGTTTTTTAATGTTAAATATTGGCGCTGAAGGACGTCGAAGCGATGGAGGCGTTTTTCGAAACAGCGATATTGGTATCCATTTTAACAATAACAAAATGGATCTTCCAAAACCAACCGAAGTAGGAATAAGTGGACCAAAGCTTCCATACGTGTTGGTTGCAGATGAAGCGTTCGCATTAACGCCATATATGATGCGACCATTTCCTCGGACCAAAAATCTTAATTTTAGAAAGAAGGTGTTTAACTATCGTTTAAGCAGAGCTCGACGTGTCGTTGAAAGCGCGTTTGGACTGCTCGTATCTCGGTGGAGAATTTATCGGAAGCCAATCAGTGCTTCTTTGTCCACAGCTGTGAAAATTGTTCAAGCAACAACTGCTTTGCATAACTTTATGATACAAAATGAGTTACTTGCACCGGCATCGGAAAGAATATACTCCAGGAACAACATAGAAGATAGTATAGCGTTAAGTCAAGGAAGCGCATTTACAGATATTGATGTGCGCAACACGAATGCGTGTAGTCGATATGCTGCAGAAGTGCGAAATAGTTATGCTGATTATTTTATGAACTCCGGGGCAGTAGAATGGCAGTGAGATAAAGCTTTACGTAACGATTTTTAAGCCGATTTTTAAGACGATGAACCCAAAATGAGGCTGTTTTTCTAATGTGTCTATCTGCCGCGTGTTGTACGTACATATTCTCGGAAAATCGAGGAAAAATAAATTCAAAAGCATGAACTTTTCTATATATAAAATTATATTGTAAATCACATGAGCTTAAACATTAAATTGTGTTATTATAATATAAAAAAAACTATTATATGATATGAAGACCGTTCAAATATTAAAATAAGATATTATAATAAAGTAAGACTTATTCATATTATTGCAAATCATTAATAAAATAAAACTTATTCATATTATTGCAAATCATATTAATTATATAAGACTTATTTATATTATTGCAAATGATGTTAATAAAATAAGACTTATTCATATTATTGCAAATCATATTAATTATAAAAAACTTATTCATATTATTGCAAATCATATTAATAAAATAAGACTTATTGATTTAATCCTAATCTGTCTTCAACCTCCATAATTTTTGTTAAAAATTTAATTTCTAATATGGCACGCTCTCTGGGCGGAAGTTTTCGAAGACCGTCAGCCAATCTCATAACGAAGTGATGCACAGAATCCTTTCCTTCAAGTTCCTTGATAACTGCAGCAATGAAAGCCTCTTCCAAAGGATCTTTTTCATTTTTTGTAGAATCTGATTTCTTTCCTGCAAAGATGTGAAAAATACTATTATAGTATATAATTTTAAATGTAAGGATGTTGAAAAAAAAACGGAAAACAAAGGTTTTAATTCAAAGCAAAAAACTAAGTTTTTAAAAATAAAAGATGTATTCATTGTAATTTTGTATTCATTGATAAAAATTTAATATAAATTTACATAATTACACATACGTTTTGAGGAATTTTCATTCGTTGCTAAAATTGGAAGCAGGTGATGCTGACGCATTGTGGGTGCTGACTGTGCTGACATGCAATGGCGCTGATGAAACAGGCTCTATGGGACTAGGAGGAGTAGGTGGTCCGCCTTCATTTGTACTTGATAAAGTACTTGATGTCCTAATAATAAAATTAATAAAATTAATAAAATAATATTATACAATATGCGTTATAACTTGTATACATACGTGCAATACATGCAGAAAATTTTTTTAATGCATAAAACATGTTTACAAAAGTTTAAAGTCATGACCACTCTAGAGACGCACAAAATGTTTTGATTTTGTTTAGTCGCTTAATAAAAAGTAATTAGCACGGTGATAGGTAAATGGGACAAATTGGAATATTGTTTTGTGGGCCTTTGGAGTGGGCATGATACTAAATTTGTGGCAAGAAATAGTAGAATAATTGGTACTTACGGCCTTGGTTCCATGCTGTCACTCAGAAAGCTCATTGCTTCACTGAATCTAAATGTGCTTTTACATTTTGAGGTAGATGCGGACCCACTTGCAACATATTCATTTCTTTTCTTTTTGTCTTTCACGTAACAATCCTTCAAATACTTATCAACGTTCATGGTTCCTGTATGGTATTGCAGATATTAGAAAAGATTATATTATTTAATGAATATATACATACATACATATATATAAATACAATACTCATAAAGCCGTAATAATTACTTAATGATTACACAATTTCATATCTCCCATAACATTACATACTTCGTTCCAAAGAGCATTCTTCTTTAGCATTGTTCGTTCACTAAGTGGTAGCCTGTGATTGTACAATGCAGGCTTCTGCCACGCAAGCAATAAGTATTTCGTCAATGTCACTGAAGCTAGCAGCGGGAGCTAGCAGCGGAACGTCTCGCGGCCAAAGCCGAATATCATGTGGGTTCCTCAGGGGGTCCGAACGTATCGTAGGTTAATTATTATCGGCCGCTGGGGTTTTCTTAAATATTATTAATTAATGAAGATTAAATACATCTATATATAAATATTTTTGACAATATTTAAACTGTTTTTTCATCGGATTGATATAAAAACATGTTTTAATTGTTATAGATTATTCGATAAATAATTGTAGAACATAGCAAAGAACGATTTTCTCCAAATTTTTAGGGAATTACGCTCTTGCGATAACAAAACGATTCAGCAATTATTTGCGAAGGGACGCGGTTTCCTTTAATTGTTATTAATTTTTATTAATTGTTTATTCGGTGGCGACCAATAGCAAAGAACGATTCTCTCAAAATTTTTAGGGGATCACGTTCTTGCAATAACAAAACAATTTAGCAAATATTTGCGAGGGGACGCGGTTTCCTTTAATTGTTATTAATTTTTATTTATTGTTTATTCGGTGGCAACCGATAGCAAAAAACGATTCTTTCCAAAATTTTAGGGGATCACGTTCTTGCAATAACAAAACAATTTAACAAGTATTTGCGAGGGGACGCGGTTTCCTTTAATTGTTATTAATTTTTATTAATTGTTTATTTGGTGGCGACCGATAGCAAAGAACGATTCTTTCCAAATTTTTAGAGGATCACGTTCTTGCAATAACAAAACAATTTAACAAGTATTTGCGAGGGAACGCGGTTTCCTTTAATTGTTATTAATTTTTATTAATTGTTTAT